AAGAGGCGAGCTTCCGCGGGCTGACCGGGTCAGATCGAGGACATGCTCTGGGTTAATGGAGTTGGGGGCGCAGAACAAGAATGCGACAGGCTCCCCTGGACCCTAGGAGGCGCCTCCCAGCCTGGTTCCGTCGTGAATTTTTTAATCCGATTATCTCCTGAGCCGTCTGACTGGTTAGTTTCCAATCCCACCATCAAAGCCTTCTTCCCGCCGCCCAGAGGACCGTCCCTGACTGTTCCCTTCTTCACCTGCCTCCATCCCTTGCTCCTGCCAGCCGCCCTGACTGGACTCTGGATTAAGCAGGAAGGAACTGGAGTTGGAGCAGGAGTGCTAGGGCCACGTAGGGCAGAAAGAGGGGTGCAGGGGGCAGCAGGAAGGAAAGGCTTAGGAGGTCCTCAGTATAAACCCTTTCCTGTCTCTCCGCAAGGGCTTAAGGCAGATACACAGGCATACCTGGCCAGAGGCAGATAAAAAGCAGACCTCCAAAAGCCCATTCTTGATGCAAGAATCTACAAGTCCAGGATGCCCTGACATTAAATGAATTCGTTAACCCAATGCACTGTGATCACTGGCCCTTACGTTGAAAGAATCCCATCCCCTATGCTCCTAATAGGGTAGATCAACAATTGTGAGGCTGGCACAGGACGGGGCAGCGTTTGGTTCCGTCTCACATAGGGTCCCTGTGGATTGAAACTGACTCACTTGCACCCAACAATACCAGTGAGATCATCTGTGGGCATTTCGTCCCATTGGATCGGTCCAGGACCTGGTGCCGTCGAGGGAAGTAAGTGTATGACATCACAGCTTGAGTTCAGGGCAGAGCCAGGAGGAAACCGCAAGTTGGATCCTGCCCCAAGCTGGGGCTTTCTTCTAACTACTACGAGGATGATGACTAATGTTGAGACAGGATTGCTCTTCATCAGGCACGCTTCTTGTTGCTGTGGTATGCCAGTAATTACTGTAATCCTAGCAATTATTCTAGGAGGTGCTGACTGCCAGGGTGCCCTTTGAGGACCCCAGGTGTCCTACTGGTTATGCATTGTGCATTGGGTGGCTAACTGCAAGGTCAGCAGTTCAAAACCACCAGCCCCTCCCTGGGAGAAAGATGAGGCTTTCTACTCCCGTAAAGAGTTACAGCCTTGGAACCCTACAGGGACAGTTCTGTCCTGTCATTATAGGGCGAATATGAGTCAGAATCAACTGGTTGGCAGTGAGTTAGAATTTTTTGAATGTGATGCCCATTTTACAGAGGAGAAGACTATAATGTAAAAGATGGGTCACTTGCCTCTTAGAGATTCCCAAAGCACATAGCCTGCGCTCAGCCTGTGTGCTCAAAACCCTTTGCCACGGACCTCTTTCTGTCCTAAAAACTGCTGTCTCCCCACTCGCTTCCAGAGACCTTTCTCCCAGTATTTTCAAATTTTCCTCTGCGGTCTCCATCCATTCTGGCGGTTCTCTTTCTTCAGCACTTTCTCAGTACCTGTGTACTCCCCACTTCAGGCGCCCTGGAAACACTTGGGGAACTCAGTCTCCACCTCCAGGGAGCAAAAAGGAAGGTCCCCAGACCCTGAGGCAGCACCTGCTCCTGGAAGGGAAGGCAAGGATGCCGGGCTCTCTGTCTGCATCCTCTTACTGCTCCCTCCCAAGTTCTTTTTCATCGACACAGGCATTCTCTGGAGCCGGCGTTTTTCTTGACAGTAAAGTCAGTGACTGGGAGGAGGAGGCCACGCTATGAAGATACAAGCCCTTGGGGAAACAACGCCTTAAGCCGAAGGTAGCCTCCCTCCCAGTCGAGTTGCCCCGTGGCCCTTGCCTCCAATAACACCTCGTCCCAGGTAGCGTGTTAGGCGATCAGTCAGAAGAGCGACAGTTAATTCCCTATCCCTGGATCTGGTTTCTGCCTGCAGAGGTCTTTGAGGCTACTTAAAGTTGGGGGCAGGGTGATGGATGGAGAGATGACAACCTTTGAATTATTGAGCAGTTACATAAGACTTCTATCCATTCTTTCTTCCCTCAACCCCACTAACCCCTGCACCAGATCTACTCGGTATGATCCATGTCATTTTCCTGTAATGTATCTTCTCTCGAGGTTAATTGTCCCACACAGTGGCAGGAACAGGCGTGAGCCAGGAAGGCAGCAGTCCCTGGGCTCCATGACAGCCAGGAGAGAATCCATCACTAGTCAGGGCCTAGAAGGCAAGTTCGGGGAGTTCGGGTCTAGAAGGCAAGGCCCCCAAGTCCTGAACCTGGCCCTGCCACAGGGCAGCCATGTGGCTCTGTCCACACTTGAGTTCTCTGAGCTGCTTTTATCATCTGTAAAGTGGTGGGTGGTGGATGGGGACACGTTCAATAACGTCTACACCCATCATCTGATACTTTCCAGGAGCTGAATCTCCCTCGTTTGGAAGAGTTTGGAATGAAAATCGGCCATCAAATTCTTGTAGCACACCTGCAACATCGCTTGCATTCTCACAGGTGTGCACTGCACGCGACAAGTCTCCAGCACCCTGCCAGCAGGCGCATGTGAATGCCCCCGTATGTCAAAAGGGAGGAAGGACAGTCTAGTGGACAGCGGCTTGAGAGTGCCCGCTGTGATTTGAGCACAGGTATGGCTGACCTTGTCTGCTACTCTCCCACTTGCACTAAGCCATGCCTGGCTCTGGCAGAACCTTGGCATCCAGCATCAAGCCCGTAATAACCGTAGCCTTTTCAACCCTCGGGTTGAGTGGAATCTCTAGCATTCTGCCCACGGCTTTAGAGTCACTCTTTCCCCGCCTGAGCCTTGACTTCCCCGTTTTCACACTTGTTGCTTCTCACGGTGACACACCAAAGGCTTTCAGGTTTTGTGTGCTCCTGCCAACCTCGTGAGGGGCCGTGGGTCTGCTGTGCAGGTTATGTGATGACGTATCTGGAAATGCCTTCTAGTGTGGGGGGCCCTGTGAAGCACTCACGGAATGCCAGTGGGATGACAGCAGACACACAAAGGGGGAGACACCGACCTCTCTGGCTGGCTGGCAGAGAAAGACACCATTCTGGGACCTTTGGGGAGCTTGCTGGGGATCACAGGTGGAGCAAGGGCCCAATGCGGAGCCCAGGTGGCCTCTGAGTCCAGCGCTCACTGCACTGGCCTCCTGCAGGCCTCAGCCCCTCCTCTCCCAGCAAGGCCTCTGAAGGCACCAGGATACTGTCAGTCACCCTCAGGCACCTTCTCCACAACACCTGTCACTCAGCATCTAGCCTGGGAGGGGCTCGGCTCTTGGGAGCCCCACCCCACCCCCTCTGCCCTGCCCAGAAGCCCCTGGGCTCAGAGTGGTGAAAGCCTTGTGCTCCTGAGCTGATCTTGTTTTATTTTGGCCCCTGGGCTGGGTTTTCTGAGGAGACGGCTCCACCCTACTCCCTGGCCACCCTGTGGTGCATGAAAAACAAACCAACAAGAAGAGAGGAAGGCATGACTTTTCCCCAGAAATCAGCAGGGCCCTTCCAGACCAAGGGCGGGCTGGAGTGTGTTCGCCCTCCCGAGTGCCCAGGCGACGGCTGCCATCTCGGCCGACAGGACACAGGGATCCATCAGCCTTGTTCCACACACTAGAGTGGACTTTATTGTGGGCCCAGCAGGGCCCAAGAGCAGCACATGCAGAGGACCGAGTGTCTGGTGCGCAGGCACCAGCTGGTCCGGCCTCACTTGCTGCACTTCCGGGGGGAGCACTGGCACTGCAGGGCGTTGAGGACCTGGTGGTACACCACGGAGCCATTGAGGCAGCGCAGGGGCACCGACATGGGCGTGATCTGCGACGGCGAGCAGCAGGAGCACTGGTCCTGCACGTCCTCGGTGTCGATGGAGTACACGGCCTTGCTGGCACATTTGCCCTGCAACAGAGCGGAGGGGGTGGTGTGAGCGTCTGTGCCGGGCAGGGCCGTGGGGCGGCCAGCTTCCTGCTCCTGCCTCCTTCAGAGAAACCCCAGCGAGCTGGGCCATGCATGGATGCAGACCTCAGGGCCTTCTAGCATGGTTTCATCCGATGCCCACCTGTGAGCACAGGTGGTGTCATGAGTTACGTGCTGGTCTGCTAAAGAAAAGGCCAGCAGGTTGAAGGTTGGAACTCCTCAGCTGCTCTTCGGGAGAAAGATGAGGCTGTCTGCTTACAAAACGATGGACAGCCTTAGACACCCTCGGGAGCAGTCATAAGGTGTCCTAGAGGGTCGCTATGAGTTAGAATCAACTCGACAGCGGAAGACAGGCCTGGCAATCTGCTTCCTTGCAACTGCTCTGAAGCAGTTCTTCCCTGTACGACGTGCGGAATCACAAGGAGGCTGATTCCACTCGACAGCAGCCAGCAGCATGGCAGTGGCCCAGGCCAAGCCCTGTGGCCTCATTTCCAGGCATGTCTGGTGCACAGCCTTCGTCTTTCATAAACAACACCCCATTCTCTATCTAGAGCTTGTTCCTCCCTTTTTCTCCTAGGACACACACTTTCCAGGGACTTCACGAAGAGTTACTTAAGTACAAACCAAGGGCTTCCAGGTCTCATTCTCCACAACTTTCGAGCACACAACCAAAAAGATGTGTCCCCAAAAAGGAGGCTCAGCTGAGCCCACCTCCAGCCCCACTGAAGTCAGGGGCCCTTACCTGGCAGTAGTGAATGTCCACTTCCTCTTCAGACTTGCAATCTCCCACTTTGACATACTGCAGCCGGGCTGTGATATCCTTGCATTCGGGCTCCTTACCTGTGGGACCCGTGAAAGGTGAGACTTGGCCCCTGTCAAAACTCTCCAGCCCCAGCCTCCGCCCTGGGCTGGGAACAGGAAGGGGAATTAAGTTGCCCTGGCTCCCCTCTGGTGCTCCTGGTCCTGCATATTCAGAGAGACAATTACTGCTGACTTAAACTCCCTTAATGGTTTAATTTTAATTGAAGGAAGAGTCTAGATTCTGTGTTTGGCAATGTAGATGTATGAGATCTGCTTTTATATAATTGTGGACTCTCAAAATCATAATGGCTAGGACAATTCCTCTCAGGCTTCTAGCGGTGCTTGTCCCACTGAGATTTCTAAGCTTCAATGCCTTTTTTTTTTTTAATAAAAATATTTAGCGAATGTATTCCAATGAAAGATACTTAGTTGCTACAGAACTAAACACACTAAAAACCTACAATCACAAGCAATCAAAAGTGAACATAACTTAGACGATTCCAATCGCCCCCAAAGAACTTTAGGATTTGGCCATGGTTGGTTGGTTGGCCCCAACCCTAGGTCAGGACTAACTACCTATTAGCCTGCCTCCCAACTTCCAGATAACTTCATTTTCCAGGGAAAGCCTGCCAACTACACTTAGAAGATAAAGAAAAACATACTTAGGCCAACATACTATATTTCATTTTCTGTTGCTGTAAATCCCTGGGCCTGGCTTATTTTCCTTGCAAAGAGTCTCAAAGCCTCCTGAATGCACTGTTCAGCAATAGCCTCTTGTGGCTGGTTTAACTGATAACCGCATCACCAGAGTCCGCATGCAAACTGGGCTTAGAGAGAAGCGTCGCCCTGAACCTTGCTGCCACAGTGGGTACCTGTGGGCCTCCCAATCACCAGGCCCACATGCTGAACTGGCAGCCCCTCCCAGGGAGAAAGATGAGACTTTCTACTCCTGGCCAGACTCACAGTCTCGGAAACGCACCAGGGCAGTCCGCTCTGTTCTACGCAGTAGCTGTGGGTCAGAGCTGACTCCGCGGCAGTGAGTTCGGGGATCCTCTCCTGACTTCACATGCTAAACCAGTCGGCTGGGGAGCCTAGAAGGAGGTGGTCTTGGTGTGTCTTTCCTCAGCCTGTGGTTTGGTCACAGCAGCTACAGGGCTGGCATGGCACGCCATCAGGGCATAACAGAAGGCAATCAAGGTGTCACGCTTGCCCTCCTGACATGAAAATGTGCATGTGCCCATGAGCCCAACACCAAATACAGTTCAAAATAAGAACACCCTCGGGGAGGTAATTCCTTAGTCAGAAAAGATAGCGTTCACGTTAAGATTCTAAAAGTCACCGTGCTCATGAACACAGGAGTGGGTGGGAGGAATACAGTCTGCTTATTGAGTCCTAGCTTCAAAGCTGCTGCGCGTTCTTAGGGCCAACAAGCTCAGCATGGAGGAAGCCCTGGCAGCACTGCTGGGAAAGCACTGGCTGCTAACCGTAAGGTCGGCAGATCAAAGGTGCCAGCAGCTCCTTTGGCGAAAGGTGAGGCAGACTGCTCCCGAAAGACTGACTGCCGTGGAACCCCGAAAGTGTGTGTCAGAACCCACCCAATGATGGGGACTGGTGTGACTCGCTGCAGCTTCAGGACGGGCTGAGAGGGAAGATGGGGATGTTGGAGAAAGAAAGCATTCCCTCACGTTAAGACTGGACACAATGGAGAGTTCCAGGGGGAGAAATGCATGTAAGACCTAGAGATGGTAAGGAATTTGAGGGAAGGGGGCGGGGGTTGTGAAGAAATTGCGTCTTGACCATTGAAAGGGAATTTGAACGAAGTGCACCATCTGAGTGGCAGATCCCCACAGACTTGAAAGCAATGACTATCCTGGGAACAAGAAAGTCATCTTTCGGCATATTCCAAAAAGTGGCCCCTGGACTTGGTATGAGGGGTTTTAAAGGATAGGCTATTGGTAATGTACTCACATGCGTTACAGCAGGTGCCTGGAATGTTCATGATTTTCCCCTAGGAAAACAGTAAGGTTCCAGATTAGGCATGAAGACTACATAGTAGACAGCTCTCAGATCAGCCTGGGCCAACCCCAGCTGTGGACTCACTGCCCTGAGTGTGAGTGGCCAGAGAAAGCTCTGTTCTCCCATCACAAATGTGAGCAGATGGAGTGCCCTGGCCACGCTGAAACAATCTGGATCATGCTGAGCTAGATCAGGACCCTCATTCCCAGTGGAGTCTGGCAGTCAGACTACTCCAGGGTCAGATTCAGGCTCTCCCAGGGGAAAGGGCTTTTAAAGATCCTACATATAACTTCACGATGAGTCTGAATGGACACGATCGCAGTGAGTGTGGACGTCTGTCTGATATATGCCACAGAGAGCCTTGTCTCTCCATCAGAATGTGAGCCTCGAATGCCATCGCAGTGAGTGTG